CCTCCGCTTCATCCGCCTGTGTTGCTGCTAGCTCCTCGGCCTTGGCGCTACGCTCCAGAGCCACGTCGCGTTCGGCCACCAGTTTGGCATTAATTCCACGAAGTCGTTCCAGCTGCAGACGCACTTGGCTCAACTAAAAGAGGCCAATAAGAAGAGGCAGTTGAGAAACTCTGTTTTTGTGACCAGAACTTTAACTACGACGTAAAAGCCAACTGTACGAGTAGCCGCAGATTACACATATTGCAATCAATGTAAAGCCTAAGCGGGCATGCAACCCATGCGCTTCAAATTTATCCTTTTCTTTCTTATTCTGAAAAGGCCACCAGATGAAAACGCAAAGATATACTGTCATATCTCCTATCCTTCGGAAAGTGTGACTATCTGGCTGCCATGGGATTAGGCTACACCCTGTTTCGGCGTACCTTCGAATAACAAATTTTTAGACAGCAAACATAATGCAGCCCGAGTCGTCGGCTCGCCATGTGGTCGCGTTTAATGACGAACTTCGGACACAATGAAACCTTTGTAAATCCTGAGCGACCAACAAGTTGACATTTACAAAAACGAAGGAAAGAGAACTCTTAGTCTCAGCAAACATGCAATAGTGGTTGGAACGTTAGACTTCTAATAGAACGGTCACAGGTTTGAGCCTCAGGTGGCGAAAAACCTGGGGGGTTGGGGATGTTTGGCTGGTGACAACTAACAAGCTAGAAATAACCATTCCAGTTTCATTTGTCTTTGTCGGTAAAGTTCTCCCTATAAAGAAATCTACTGCTAAAGTGAACAGAACAATTAAGTCGGGCGTCATGTGAATTTACAGAAGTTGATGAAAAATGAGTCGATCAATTGTAGGCAAAGAAAATGCTGCAACTTTCATTTATTTTCCTAACCTACTCAGAAAAAGGTCCTTTTTGTATGCATCATGTTTATAAGTAATTTCATAAATCGAAATGTTTACGAATTTGAGCTGAAATATATTTTGCTTTGTATTCCAGTGGTTTCCTATGCTAATAGTTACCAAGACTAAGTTTGTGGATCTTTGCATGTCCATCAAACGGAATTTGCTATGCTAAAAAATTATTCTCTACGTAAATCAAATGCAGGAAGGTGATTGTTTTTTTTAAAAAAACTGACATTTTGTGGATTCTAAAAATAAAGAGTTGTCAATCTGTGTTACGAACAAAGCAGTAATAACGTATACTGACGATCCTTTGTTTTTATCTTCCTAACATTTTTGTGCACTTCGTGGATGCTATTGTATCTTACTACAGATAGTCCTCCCCCCTACACAAAAGTTATGTGAAATTTTATATATGCAATTAGATACTTCTTGCATGAGTTAGTTTCCGCTAAGGCGTAACTTAGAGACAGAAAAGTAACAGTTCTCCCAACTTTTTAGTACTTTTACAGGGACCCTGTTGTGCATTCACAATTTTAGAACGTAGCCTTAACGCAAATAAATATAAGAAATGAGGCTCGAATAGAAAGAGAAATATGGGTTCCCTTACTTGCGACAAAAAAAATATCAAGCGTTTTTTATGGTAATCGAAAAACCGGTCAAATGTCCCAAAGTTTACCTTGACTTAATCTTTGAAAATGATAAAGTACGCAGACACCCGTCGGCGAAATACCTAATAAAAGCACTTTCTGAAGCGATAACTTGTTCGAGAAAGTTGTGTAATTGGTTTAAGGCATATTCATCGCCGACCCTTGTTGTGTAGGATGAGGTCTTATGTTTGAGTGAGGCTACCAGTACGACTAAAACGGTCATCTGCATTAGAAAGAATGTCGCTCACTACTTCGGCAAATTGTGTACAATTTCACGTGATAGTTCTCTTTCAGTTTATTGATCACTGACTAACGGGAAATATGCTGTTTCCTGTGATGTCCGTATCGGCAAAATCAAGCAAAAACTTAGTTACTTTAGGCAAACACATCTTAAACAATGTGGAAACGGAAGGAAATAACTTAATTCTCGTGAAACCGTGATGCAAATTAATACTCGAATTGTAGGCTGCTTGCTCACGGCCATTTTATATATAACACATTCCTGGGTGCAAAATTCATATTACTCTTCTTGTGCTGATCCATTTACTCGATTTCCTGCATGGACAAGCTTTATGTACATGCAAAACTTACATTAACTGAGGTACAACGACTTTTCATGTTTAAGGAATTTTTAAATTTAGAAAAAAATTGAAAGCGTTACATTCCTTTTACATTTTCTTATGTTTTCGATTCACATAAAGTTGCGCATGGCTATTTTTCAAATGTTGGCTATTTTATTGGTGCCATTTCGCGAGTGATAACCAATGTCTGGCAAATTTCTGCACATGTCATGGGATAGCAAATTCACTGTACACATTTGATGTG